CATGTCCGCCTGGCACAAACCACATGTTTTGGACAGCTGTGAAGTGACAGAATGTCCCACCATCATGGTTCTTATATTGCCAGATTCCAGAGAGTCTCCCCTCTTCATATATGGCAGAATATGTCATTTTCCAACTTGCTATGCTGAGATACATGTAAAAATGTAAGAATTTAGTCACACGGATTTGTTTTTTTCATTGATATAAAAATCAATATAAAATACAGGCACATAGAAGGACCTGGAATGATGGCAAATTTGGTTAGCCCAGATTGTCCTGAAAAAAAAAACAAGACATAGCATGTGTATGTAGCCTTTATAATGACTGTGATATGAGCTTAAAAGTAAAGGCAGTAAAAATACCCCAAAAACGCCTAGGGCCCAAAGGGATAAATACAGCCACACAATTCTCTACTGATGTTTTTGGTGGGTGCGCCGCTTTAAGTGGTCCGACCGGCAACCTATTGAGATGATTTAGTTCCGCGTTCCCCCTCCGACTCTTCAGCAGGGGGGCCACGGGGGGGCAGTGGCCCTGCCATTGTTCATTTGCATACTGCTGTTACAGTTAACTGTGCATTTGAAAGTGGCATTTTAGTTTTAGTTAGTAGTTTCTCAAAATCCCTATGCTCTATACTTCTGTTCTCTGCTGCTCTCAGGTCAGTCATGTGCAGACTTACACTCTGGTGCATTTACTTGGTCTCCCTTGTCTCCTTTGGCACCTGGTGGTCCGGGAGGACCTGTAAAGGAAAAATAATACAAATACATCTTCCAACCAAAGTGACAGTTTACATGAACATACAGTCAGGTCCATAATTATTTGGACAATGATACAGTTGTCATCATTTTGGCTCTGTACACCACCACAATGGGTTTTAAATGAAACAATGAATACCTGCTTAAAGTGCAGACTCTCAGCTTTCATTTAAGACTTTTTTCAAAAATTTAGTATGAACCGTGTAGGAATTACAACCATTTCCTCACACAGCCCCCCAACTTTAAGGGCTCATAAGTATTTAGACAAACTAATATAATCATCAATTAAACAGTCAGTTTTAATACTTGGTTGCAAATCCTTTACAGTCAATGACTGCCTGAAGTGTTGGACACATAGACATCACCAGTTGCTGGGTTTCTTCCCTGGTGATGCTCTGCCAGCCCTTTACTGCAGCCGTCTGCACTTCCTGCTTGTGTTTTGGGTGTTTTG